TTGTTGGCAGCATATTAAAGTATTAAGACTTCAGGCTTACTCTGATGCGTTTCTATGATCAAGCTGTCCACAGAATGAAAGGGATTCAAAGAAGGAGGTTGCTTTAACTCGGCTGTGGGAAGCACCTCAGTTGCTTGCAGCCATCTGGATGCATTTTGGATCTGATCTTGGTTGTACAGCTCTTTTGGTTAAGGGTTACTACTGTCCAGTTTGTAATGGATGCTGCCCCCATTATGCTCCTGCTGTTTGTGCTGATATTGAACTCCTAATGAAGTCAGGCGACACAGGTGCTCATGTAGGAGAGAAGAGCTTTGGCCCAGATCTTCAACTTTTTGTTAGGGTAGCACCCTGCAGTGGCTTGCTCCAGCATATAAGAGGTAATGGGGATAGGGTAATGGACTGGCAATCAGGAGACCTGGATTCCAGGTGCTTTGCTACCAACCAGCTATGTGACCTCAGATGAGTCTCTTCCTATTTCTGTGCCTGTTTCCCATGCCATTCTTTGTCACAGTAGACAGGATTGGTTAGAGACAGGGGCAGATTCAGAAGGGTCCAGTGGTGCAGCCACACCAACCTTTCTGACTACACAGTAGGAGGAGCAGTCAGGAACTTAGGTAAGAAGTTCCTTGCTTCTGTCCCCTCTGTGCTCAGAGGCAGATACCATCCCCTCCCATTCCTGTCTCCCCCACGTGCTGCTGCTGTTGTCCCTGGGCGCTGGGCACAGCTCAGGACAGTGGCAGCGGTGAGTGGGCAGGTTCCCCATCTCTGCCTGGTCTCTGTGGGTATTCCCCACCAGCCTGCGAGCAGGTGTGAGGAGGGGTCACTTGCCTGCCCACTGCCACTGATGTTGTCCTAGGCGAGCCCAAGCACCATGCAGTCCAGCTAAAGTAGGCCTGGAGTGTTCCTCAGACCTGGGACATTGGGGACAGCATCAGTGCCAGGTGGAGTATGAAGGGAGGGGAGGCGAGAGGATGTGCCCATGAGCAGGGAAAGGTGGGGGATAATTCTTTACCAGTATTGGGGGGCTTAAAGGTTCCTGACTGCTGCTTCTATGGTGCTGTCTGCCTGCCTGCCCCAGTGGGAGATGTGGGGAGGAGGCTAGGAGCGGAGAGTGTAGCCACCCCTGGAGTGTTGGTAGTTGCTCCCACAATGCCATTTGTAAAATCCTGAATCCACTTCTGGACAGAGATGTACCTAATAGATAAGATAGTAAGTTCTTTGGGAACAGGGCTATTTCCTGCTATAGAAAGCATCTCTTGATCCTTCTGCAGTGTAAGTAATGAACCTAAAAAGAGCACGTTCATAGATCGTTATTGAAAGCACTATCCAAGTTCATAGCATTGCATACTGGGTGGCTTGACCTAGGTAATACT